CTTTGGATTAGCTCTGCTCTAGACCCCATGTGATAAGGTCCTAAGAAGTGTATAGGAAGACTTGAAGTCAATACTGCACCAATATAAAAAAGCACTGATGTAGGAACACAGCATAACCTCTAGGATCATCCAATGGAGATGAGACAGTTTACACTCAGTATACTCCAGGTCTTTGCTGAAGCATTCTCTGTCATATCCTAGAGTTCACTGAACAGTCACCCAAGACTCTGAATAAATTTTTTTTTTAAAAAAAATGGAGACATGTAGAGATAGCATGGTGTAGTGGTTTGAGTGTTGAACTTTGACTCTGAAGACCAGGATTCAATTGCCCACTCAGCCATGAAGCTCACTAGGTGACCTTGGGTAAGTCACATGCTCTCGGCCTCAAGGAAAGGTAATGACAAACCCTCTCTGAACAAATCTTTCCAAGAAAGCCCCATGATAGGTTTATCTTAGGGATTCTATAAGTTGGAAATGACTTGAAGGCACACAACGACAAACAAGGACTTCAGCTAGAAGAGGAAGCAGGCAAAATCCATTCCATAAGGAGAACTCTTCCCACATTTTGTTAAATCCAAATAACCTATTCATGGGTGGATCAGAGCTGGGAACATATATGTTTTAACTGCCATGAGTTTAATAAAATACCTGTGTTCCTATTTCAGAAGAGTGACTGGCAATTTATAACCCACTAACGTGCAATATTCACATAAACCAAATCTCCTCTGTGTAAAATTGGCACCTCATTCAGATAATTGTGTTACAAATAGAATATGATTCCTAGAGGAAATTCCAAATGCTTTAATATTTTAGAGCATTTCTACAATATGGAATACCATGTGAAGATTCCATTATTCCATTAAGTCTTTATAGGAAACTATTTCGTGCAAAAACCCAAAGGGTCAAACCCATTATTGATTGCATGGAATTTCATTAATCCAATCATTTTGTAGACTGTATAGAGGTTTTCCTTCCTACATCTGAGAAAAGCTTCTCACACCCATTTGACTTCCATATGATTAAAACTGCATAATGAAGAAAACAGAAATGAGTTCATTTGCCCTCAATCTTTTATAACATTATTATTGCTTATTACTGCAGCCTCCATCTATTGGAAGTGTAACTCCTGCAAGTTCTGTATACATTTCATCTTGCCACTTAATTTAAACCCTGATTTCAAGGTGTTTTAATCCATATGGGGAGCCTTGACCTGTTTTCCTGCTGTCCACATTGAGTCCCATGTGTGGACAGTTTGGGAGACAAGTAATGGGGGATAAAAAATGAGGGTAGTGGGGCCAGAAAGTTTATTCCTGCTTCCTCTTACCTTCCTCCCCCCCCCTCCATACACCATGTAGTCCCAAGTACATGGGGAACGTAATTCTCTGCATAGAGCTCATTACTTAGTAAGTTTGGAGAAAGTTGAGCCTAAGGTGAGGTATGCGGTTTTAAATCTCCTATATCTTCACAGCAGCCCTGCCAGGATGATTGGCAGTGACTGGTCCAAGTTCCTTTTCACACTACATAATGATAGTGTTATTTTTCCACTTTAACTGCTATGGTTCCATCCTGGAATTGGTAGCTAAAGGAAGGACATCTAGAATTCTCAGCTAGAAAGCTCCTCTGGTGTCTCTGTGCAAACTACAAACCCCAAGATTCCAAAGGATGCAGCCATGATAGTTAAAGTAGAGTCACAGTGCTATAATTATGTAACATGAAAGGCCCTCTGAGTTTCATGGGGGACCAAGGACTTAAACATAGATCTCCCAAGTTAACAGCAACACTCTAATTAGTAAAAGGCAAAAAAGGTCCAGGTTTCACCTTTGACAAGACTGTCAACTTGTTTCTGACTGTAGGGGCCAGTGCTCATCTCTGTTATTAACCTGAGGGAGCCAGTGTTACCAAAGATGATTTCGTGGTCGTGTGGCAGCATGACTGCAAAGAATACTGTTACCTTTCCACCGAAGTGGCACCTATTTATCTACTTGCACTTCATGCTAGATTGGTGGAAGCTGGGGCTAATGATGGAAGTTCAATGCATCATGCAGCACTTGGGTCTTGAACTGCAACCTTCTGACCTTGTAATTATCAGAGTTGGCATCTTAACCACTGAGTCACCATGTCACACTTAATTAGTACAGAACATAAATTCTGTAGAATGATTATGGAATTATTTAAAAAAACAATAAATATAGAACTGTAGTTTGGACTAGTTGTGTCTCCCTTTTTAAATTATGGGAAATGTTATTCTGGTAAGACTTCAAGCTAATCTCAACTCTCTTACATGCTGCAAAGTTGTCATGTACTAGCTAGTTCACACTACGTTCACTATGAGAGCCAGCATGACATAGCGGCTTGAGTGTTGGACTACAACTCTGGAGATCAGGGTTCAATTAACCATTCAGCTATGAAACTCACTGGGTGACCTTCAGCAAGTCACATTTTCTCAGCCTCAGGGGAAGGCAATGGCAAATCTCATCTGAACAATTTTGCCAAGAAAACCCCATAATAAGTTCATCTTAATAATAATAATAATAATAAATAAAATTTATTTCTATACCGCCCAATGGTCACCCAATCCGGGAGGTTTACAAGTTAAAACAATTTACAATAATAAGATATCCCTCCCCCGCTTAAAACAGTATTAAATAATAACAAATAATAATAAAATTTATTTCTATAGCGGCTTGAGTATAGCGGCTTAGGGGTACCGTAAATTGGAAATGACTTCAAGGCACACATCATAATCATCAATAACAACAATTGTCCACTAAATGGCTGCAAAAAGTATGAACTGTGATGCATCTAGTTAAGCTAACTGCCCATCAATTACTGACCAATTTGTATGTTGCCTTGGGAACGTTTCATCACAGACAGCATGTACACATCATACATTATGCAATCTAAGGATGATAGGGTGTTTTAACCCCAGTACATCTGAAGGGCAACAAGTTGGAGAAAGAGGTGATATATTATTAAGCAATTAATTCTATGAAGGAAATGTGATCAATTTATCATTGCTGATATAAGCACTAATTATTTGCTATCTGTTTATTTAAATAAAGTGAAATATAATCCATTCCATGGCATTAGCAGAATACAGCATCAAAAATATGCCAAACATTATCACATATACCCAGGGAATCATTTGTGTTAGTTTTGGTGAGTCAAATAGAGAAAAATATGGAGAAAGTATCCTTTTTCTATACCAACTGTTATGAAGAACAGACTGCTTTCTACCTCTAAACTCTAGGAAGCTCTTAAATCCTAGAAGGATTAGTTGTGTGAAATCATATATAGCTTGAAAAAGAATATTGGTTACATCTTCACTAAATCAGTTTTT